CTACGTGGAACCGCAGGCCGGATCCGCGGAACGACGATGGTAATTGTGAGAAACGGGGATCGCGCGAGCGCGCGTATACCGGGGTCGATTACACGGACAGGCAGGTCCGGGCTCTCGGTGGCTTTCGTGTCACTCGGAATTATAAAAGAAACTTTCAGGCCGCGACTCCGCGACATGGTATTTCCGGAAGCGTACTCTGGCAGCCGCGAGGCGCTCGCCGCGCAAACCTGGTTCGCGCTCGTTCGTGCGTTACCCCCGGGGGGTGGCGGAAGTTGGCGCGGGAGGCGCGCAAACGAGAACGCAACGACAATTTATTAACGATCACGGCGTCCGGTAATTGTTTCCGTCGCGGACGCGGGCCGCGCGTGCACGCGCGCGTGACGGCAGCGCTCGCGGGAACGGCGTCGCGCGATTTTCTCCGCTCTAATCGGAGATTTGTCGCCGGCCGAGCGCGCAGTATTTACGCGACCGTCGGGATCATTAACGCCGCATAGCGTGCGCACGACGTCACCGATGACGCCGCTCCGCGCTCGGGATGGTGGACGGCGAATTGGGCCGGCGTAATTGCTATAATTTCACCGCGCGTGGAATCTGTTACCGCAAACTCGCGCGCCGAACTCGAGATACCTGGTCCGATAGAATGGCCGGACAATTACGTCGTGGCTCGCGGACGCGCGCGTGCAGCGACAGCGGGGATAAAATACGCGTCCATCGAACGAAAACGAGTAAATTCAGCGAAGATTCGACGCTGGTCGTAATTCCTCGGTCCAGATTACGGATCAGATTGCGGATTAAACGGTGCCACCGGGCCATTTGATTACCGGCTATGTCGGAAATTGTACTAACAAGTACGCTCACGACGAAAGGAATTTATTGCTCCGCTCGGTGAGACGATTTCGCGTTAGCGAGCATCCCCGATTCGGGCGATAGCTAGGAGAGAGAGGGAGAGAGGGCGTTTAATTCATTGACCGAGCTGGTCATTCTGTCCGAGTTCATTCTTCCGCGTTTTCCGATTCGTCGGATATTAAAAGTCGCGGCTCCGGGTACTCGGCCATGCCGGTGTAATCCGCGTTACGAGGCTTTAACGCGATTTCTCCTTCCCTCTGACGTACCAACTACGCTGCGATGAACGAAACAAGGGCACAAGAGCGATAAAACGTACACTCTACTTGGCATGGTTTCGCAGTCGCAGGCATTTCCGCGCTGCATAAGTCCAGGAGTCCACGTGTCGCGGGAATACGCGAAACGATCGTCTGACTGGGAAACTCGACCGAGCGGAACATTGTTGCTTACGCGAACCTTCTTCCACGCGTTTCGTGTTCCAAGTCCATTCACGACCACCGACCATACCCCGCGATTACGTCTCGCGCTATACCCGATATCGTTGCGACTACTCTCGATGCAATTTACTCGACGCAAGGTCCGCTTTTTCACCGTGACTTTAGAGCGTTCCAAGGACAGCGAGAAGTACCGACGCGTAATTACGCCAATGCGTATACCCGTTTCCCGAAATCATTCTTTCACTCGCGTGGGTTTGCCACGACTCACCACGTTACTCGCGCGTTTCAAAACTTTGTCTCCGCGTTCTCCGCGACATTTTCCCGGCGCGAATATTGCGTAGATAATCGCAACGCCCGTTGCATAATGAATCAGCTGTAAGGAATCGTGCGACTCGCCGCGTGTTTGCTATAGCATGACGCCCTCGCGACAATAAACACCGGAATGACAGTCGATGCAGGCGAGAGAGTCCGTGGGCAACCGTGGGACGCGTACACCCGTGGAAACCACGGTTTTATCGCGATAACGTTTCGTAACACCGTACGCTTCCTGATTTTTTCAGTAGCGCGACGGCACCACGTGCGCCAACTCGCGCTAACGATCGAACGCCGGTTGCACGCGAACTGCGGAGCGCGTGCGAAGAGCTCCTTGAAACGTCTCGCGTACGCTCGAGGAATTTTCGAAATATCGTCTCGAGTCTTTACGGTCTATAACGACGTATTCCGACATATTCCGATAATTAGAAGACTCGAGCGAAAGAAATGGTAAATCGAATGGACGCGAATTATTACAATTATCGCGTATGCGCGCAAAATACGTTCAGCTACTCGTCGCGGATCATCCAGATCGAGTTAAACTCCCAGTTAGTTAAATGGGCCGCGCACGCGACGCGACGCGACTTGGCGTAGAATTTCCTCGACGTTCCTCCGAGTCCTCGGTACCCGGCACATCGACGCACGCACGATGAATCAAGGATAAGAGACAAAGCATTCTCTAACCGGGACAATCGGTTTCGTTTTAATCGTCGGCGAATCCGCTGATACGTATTCGAAAGAATGGCGGCTCGTTGGAAAGAACTGACTAATCGAAACGGAAGTCAAAGTTTCCGTTTAAATCGGAGCAGTTGAACGTACGAGTTAACCGGCACCCCGCGAGAGAGGCATTGTCCGGCCGCTGAATGGCGCAGACATAATTCGTATAATTGCGGGACACGCGCCACTCACCGTTCGCCATTCTTTCTGCGGCAATACGCAGCGTTCCGCGGTATCAACCACGCTCGTACGTGGATGGCAATAAACAGGCGGCACACGATGGCTGATGGGACCAGAGGAACAATTGAGCCGCACGGGGACGCGGACACTCGCGGAAACGGAACACTCGTGCCTCTGGCGAACGATTTCCACGGTTCCCCGTTTCGCTTCTGCCTTTCTCTGCGCGCCGCGCGTTTCACCAAGAAATCCCATGCATCGCCGGCTTTGCCACCGCGCGCGGTCCGTTCGATCCGATTTCCTTCTGTCGCTCCACGATCCCGGCCCTTTCACGCGTTTCGACTCGACGCGTGCCACCTGCAACGAACGAGCCAACAGCGTCGGCCCAACCTCCGCGACCTGTCTTTCGCTCCGGATCCATTGGGAAGAGGGGTCTGTCGCCTCGGTATAAGCCGTAGACGACGCGCAGGGGTGCACGCCGAGAGGCGCGTGTAGAAGAGCGACGCGTAGGAGGGGAGGGCGATTTTCCGATCGGTCCTTCGTCTCGGCTGCGGGTAACTCGCGTCGAGGGGTGGAAAAAATATGCTCCCTATTTCCGACGTGGCGGCGGAAATTGAAGAAGTTGCGCGAGACGGCGCTGGAAATTATTTATTACTCCGGCCGCCACGTTCCGATGACTTCGCCCCGTCTAGGTAGTCTCCGCGGTTTCCCAGGCCCCTGTCGACGCGGCTTCTCGCGGACTCTTCGTGCTATTCCAACGACGGAAGACGTGGATGATTCACCGACGTCCACGAGAACCGACTAATCCGCGATAACGCGAGAGCGCCGAGTTCCAGGACGCGATAACCGTTCCCGGACCGGACGTGTTCGAAACGCGCGATCCTCGGGAACGATGTATTCCGATGGCGGACAAAAACGACTCTCGACCGGCAATAAAGAGCAACGTCGTTATCGTCGAGCCAGTTTAAATTCCATAGCGTCTTATTCCGTACGACGCGGATCGCCTGGCTCGGCGAGACACAAAAGAGAGAAGAGCGTAGTCGTTAGCTATCGGCCTGCACAGCCTGTCGTCTCTCCTGTTCTCTCTCTGTTTGGCTCGGCTGCCTTCATCGTAACGCTAAACGCGGAGGCAATATCGACGGGGACCGAGCACGTCTCAAAGCGCGATCGTCGCGTTCTCAAAGAGAAAGAATGGTTCTTGTTTCCTCGTGGAATTCGAATTTTCTCTCAGATTCACTGCGTTACATTTTAAAGCAGTCCCGTGTCCATTGCGAATGCCGGCTGCGTGAGAGGGGCAGAGGGAGCAGACGGCGAATAAGGGGCAGGAGGTGGAACGGATCGTTAATAAAAATCTGCGCGAACTGAAAATCTATAGGAGTCGAAACGACCGCCGTCTGTTACGCTAAGTAACTTTGACAATATCGTTCCTCTCCCGTGCTCCTACACCTGCGCCCGGTTTTTTATCGGCTAGAACAATTCCTTGTTTTTGCTATCCGACACCCTGCTCACGGCCCCGACTTTTTATCGCGAACGCTTTATATTTTATATCCAATCAGGCCTGGCTGCTACAGTTGCCGCGTTAGCCCGCGCCTTTCACGCGTCCAGGATAACCCAAATGGATACTCTCGTGTTCTCTCCTCGGGCTCCCCTCTTCTTTTTTCTCCGTCCCCGTGCCCCGTCGTCGCCGTATCAGCGTCCCGACGTACACATCTATGCGACTCGCAGGTGAGACGAATGGCGGAATGGAAGAATGTCGGGACAAAAGGAGGCCAGGAGCATAACACGCGTGACTGGACCGGGCTCACGGCGCACGGTTACGCGGGTACGCGCGGCCGGTTCGCGTCGCTGGTAAATTAAATTCTAATAAAGCTCGCCGAAACGGCGGGTAAAAAGTAGCGAAAGGAGTCGGTCGAGCCGGGGAACAATGGCGATGGAAGGCGTCGCAGGCCGACGCGAACCGCGGATAATTATATCGAGGCGGTGACCAGGAATCTCGCAGAAAAACTTGCCTTCGGGCCTACTGCCGCCGCTACTACGGTGCCTCGAACGCGTTGCCATGGGTCGGTTAACTAACTCGGCGTTGTCCGGGTAGGTGTGTCGCTCTCGAAACCGCGCGTCGCCTTGGTCCGCTTGGTAAAAAACGCGATCGGTGAAAAAGACCGCGCGGCGAATAGTTTCGTTCCTCCCGCGTTCCCCGTGGATCTCGTCCACGGGTAGCACACGCATGTCTCTCGTCTCGTTCGGAAGCTTTGATATCTCTCTGCGTCGGGGAATAGAACGGGGGACAAGAAACCGTAGGACATAGGACGAAACGTGGATTCGGCGCTATTAACGGGGAGAGACGGTGGGACGCGCGAAATGTTCGAAGGCGAGAAAATGGCGGCGACTGCCTTTGCGCGCGCTCTAGGCAGGAGGGAAGTAGATCCGGTAGACGAAACGATTGGACGCGGGTATTCCGACGTTTTTATCGCACGATCGGCAAGATTTCTAACGCCGAGTTATCGTTGGTTCCAGGACCGTCACGTGAAGAATTCCAGCAAGGATCCGCAGATGGACTCCAGCCAAGACTATTGCCTGCTACTGGGTTACGAGAACAAGACGCACACGGTTCTGCGTTTCAGCAGACGATACGATACGTGCGACCCGCGGGACCTCAAGATCACGGTAGGTGGTTTGATTTATATGGCTTCCGGCGTGAAAGATAATTTCGCGTAGCGCGCCAAGTGCCCGCCCGAGGATCGTTTGATGGATTTACGAGAAAAATTGAGCAGCCGTGCATGATGCCAGTCTGGCCGAGGAAGAATTATTTATCGCGGTTCTTTAGGAAATTGAGCACCGCGGCTATATGTACCTGCCGCTAAATAATTAATCCCTCCGCTGGAATGGCAGCGTATATACGTCACGATCGAAGTACTTAATTTCGCCAGCCTATAAAATCGCCGACAATTTCGTAACTGTCTCGCGTTTACATATACGGATACCGAGCCGCGTAAAAACGAACGGAATCACGCGTCGATATTATCCGGCCGTATCGTTTGACCGTTAATTTACCCCGCGAACGCGATACCTCTCCGTCTCTCTCGTTCTCTCGTTAAAAATACATTACTCGTGGGTAACGCGAACCGTCCTTCTCCTTTTTCAACCCGCGCACCAGCCGACCGACGGCTGTTTAAATACTTTCCTCTTAATCCGTTTAATCCCTCTCCCTTCAAAATCGCGACTTCACCCCGTGCGCACCTTTGACGTGTACCCGGGCCCTTTAATACGCGCGAAACTCGAAACTCGGAGCTCTGGCCGCGAGCGAAACGCGCGTCTATGCCATTGCGACTGATTAGAATTATCGCGTGGCAGGGATTAGCGCGGGAGAACGGAACGACGTCGGGATCGGCGCAGGTAGCCCCGACAATGGCAAATTGTCGAAATACGAGCGCGATTCATTACGCGTCGCAATTAACGTTAATTAACCGACATTACGAGTTGCAAATGCGCGGCGTGTAACGGCAGCGAAAGTGTCAGGAATTTCAGGACGGTTCACGGTCGGCTAACGAGAACGAAGCAGCGCGTCGGCTTGTACGGAAAGTCGTGGGCGGTATGCGGAATCATTAGCGAGCGAAGAGCGTGGCGCGGAGGATCGAGGTATTAACATAGGCCGGCTAAAATTCAAAGACTCGTTATCGCCGGCTGGCCTCTGTTCCGTTCCGTTCTCGTTCTCGTTCCGTCCCCGTCCCCGTTCCGTTCCGTTCCGTTCCGTTTCGCGGATTCCAGGCGGCGGATAGGACAGACCGACCCAGTTCTTTATTTCGCAGGTAATTAACTCGGGAATAGATGGAGCCGCGATAGAGCCGTCCACTCGGTTGGTACCGCGGCACTCGCTAGGTAGGGGAGAGATTACGCGGGTGCTGCGATTTGCATGGAATTTATGGCATCGAAGGAGGACAGCGGGTGTTTCGCTTTGCATCGCGTGGGTACAGGAAGGGTCGGTGGCGTCATTGGCACGCAGTCCTGTCCCCCGAGATCCTAGAGTCGTTTATATTTTCCGAGACAGAGACGAGCCCCGACGAAGAGGAGAAGAAGCAATTAGCGGGGATCCGAGAAACATTGGCGAGAGTAAGAGTCGATTAACGTCGAAGAAGTTACGACCCTGCACGTCTCAATCGCCGATCGCTTATAATAATTACCGGTAAATGTCGTTTAAGGGGCAATAACGCGGCCGTGGCGAATCAAGGAAACGTTAATTGAACGTTCCGCCTGCCCACGCTCGGCTCGTACCAATACCGGACCCTCGCGCGGGTGTAGCCTCGTGAAACCCGAGGCGACCGTCGTAAAACGATCGCGAACTTTGAAAATAATTGCACGGTTTATGTTTTGCGTGCCAATAGCGCCGGCGAGTCGTCGATATTAGCGAGCGTAACGCCACGGGGCCCGCAGGTGTGCTTGCGCGCGCGCGCGCGGCCGGCGCGAATCGCGAGGCGGACGATGACTATTCGCGTTCCGTGTACGCGTAAATAATTGACGAGCGCACCGCAAATATTGGCGGGCGAACGAAGCAAAGTCGAAGAGAAACATTGGCGTAGCGAGCTCGCGGTACGCAAGACGCGCGAAACGAGATTGCTCTGTCAATAGAAGTAATTACGCGTTCGTCACGGTGGAGAACAGGAAACGGTAGGATGTTTGTTCGGTGTTTCTTTTCGCGTTTCACGCGAGGCAAGAAAAATTCGTCGGAACGATTGCCCGGGATGACGTCGTTCGATGACGAGGCGCGAATCGAAGTGGCCATCGACGAACTTGGGTCAGACGGAGCGGAGAAAGCGTAGGCTCCAAGCGGACGGACGTCGTATGCAGATGAAGATTTCAGGATCGCGTTGTCTCCGAGTCCGATCTTGCTCGCGTGGACGCTAAGCGGGATTTAGAAGAAACGGTCGGGGGCTACCACCTCTCGATCTCTCGATCTCGGTCTCGAGGATTCGTTAGGAAGAAACTGAACATATGGCGGCTGCTGGCGCGGACGCCGCGGTCCCAGGAATGTCCATCTAGCAGTTGAGTCATCAAAATACTTGGGTGCAAAAATAAAGCGAGCCACCGCGGTCCGAGATTCTATCTGGGACGACGAACGACCAAGTCAGCTCCCCTTTTCCTTTATCTGATCGCGTGACGTATCGGTACCCTACATGATATTTTTTCGTGTCACGTTCGCCTCGCGGGCCGACCCTATGGCCGTGGTGCAGCAGCCGTGGCTCTCGCGAAAGGTACCGCTGTGCTGAATCCGTAGGCGGATCGAGATACTTTAAACGGACCCGCGACGTTCGGTGCAGGCTACGTTCGTACAGGGTTATCGGCGATCGGAGTCGCGACGCGAAAAGTAGCGAGGCTCTTTGTCTCGAAACGCTGAGTTACGACGGTGGTTGAGGAAATCGTGCCGCGGGATCGGCGACGGGGGATGGTTCTCGGTGAATAAGTAGGTCGTGTAGATGGAACGGGGTGCACGGTTGCAAGAGGCATCCCAAGTTCCCGGGGCATTCTTCCTCTGCCGTTAATTCGAATTACGTCTGTCGAACTACCGCGCAAAGCCAGACTCTCGAGACAATCTGACAATAAATCGTCGTTTTATCGCACCGCAGTGGCTGCACGAGTTCGATCGGAAGGTAAGATGAAAAAGAATTGGCGTGGTGGCGTGCGTCGGTCCCGTGTCAAATTATCGATACACCGCGCAGGTAAACGCGACGGCGTTTCCCGATATATACGGCGCCGCTGCAAATTGCCGATATATCTAGTCGTCCCGCAACGGGGTCTCGAGCCATTGTTATTTCTACCGACAGCCACGGTGGATTAATCGAATGAACATCGAATTAAGCGATGCTCCGTTCGTAACCGGCTTACGCGGAAGAGGGGGCTTCGATTGCATATTAATATTATACGCGGATGCTCTCGTCCTATGCCTCGGTATGCAGACAGTCTCATCAGCGGGACGCGGAATTAAACCTGTGACTGCGCGCGTCGTAGACGACACGCGTGTTACGCGAAGAGAGTGAGAGAGAGAGAGAAAGAGAGAGGGCACACAGGTCTTGGCAGAGAGGTCTCGTATTCGCGCAGCGGTGATTCTCTCGCATCGCTCTTGTGTACGCTTGTAATTAGTTCATTAGCGAGCTTGTACGCGGACCGCGCATGGTCATCGCTGCTGGGAAACGCGTGACGTTTCGGCATGCATCGAAATATGTATTTTTCATAATTAGGCTTGTTTACTCGGCGAACACGAGTCGCGCGGCGGAGTTATGCAAACCGGTAATTATTTCGTTAGCCACGGCGACGCGGTGTGCGGTCGCAAACGAACCCTGCCGCCCGAGAGTTTCCAGCGCTGGAGAACGGTGGTTCCCACTGATGGCACGGCCACTCTCTTGCTCGCGCAGCAACGTAAATATTTCCGAGAGACGTTATTATCGTCCGGTACGACCGCGTCTCGACGCGTGGTCGACGCGAGAGCCAGGCGAACAGAAAGGACGACGAACCGGGGGTACAGAGACGACGGCGTACGTGCAAATCGTGGCCTGTTGACTCTTTGGGTCGGGACAAAGAAATATCCAGCGGACGGGAGTAGCGAACTCGGCCCAATTTCGCGGTCTGGCCGACGGGTCACGTCGGCGAAGGTAAACGCCGTCTCGGTCCTTTGCAACCGATAAATTTCCTCGGTGTGCGCGTGGAGCGCGACGCGGCCAACTATTCTCCTATCGTCAGATGTCGACGATAGAAACCGCAAAAGTTCCAGGCCGCGTAGCAACGGGGATTTCCCTTTGAAACAGAGGCAGAGCAGCCGGGCAAGGATTTTCCGGCACGGCGGGGCATTATGCAACTCGGACTCGACTGCCAACGAGAACCACCGGGATCGACGTCGCCAGTCCAGTTTCCACTTTGGAAGATTTCTAGATTCGTAGTCTGCTTTTTCCGCGGTATTTCCTTCCTTTTTCCACCTGGAATCCTCACGAGTGCCGCCGCTGCTGCTACGGTGGTGGCGGCGACGACGTGGGATCATCGGTGGCAGGAGTCGGAGGATAGGGACGAAGGAGGAGGGACACGCGGATTCCTAGGTACTCGAATGGAAAGCGGTAGAGTATAGGTCGGGTAGAGGGAAAACGCGGAAAAACAGTGGAGAGACGAGGGTAGAGCAAAGAGAGTTAGTTCGCGCCAGTTCGTGGATATGCACGCGAATGTTACCGGTGGGGAGATTGGTGTGCCTTGCAGAAGGGATTGGCTAGCTGACCCGGTTCTGCTTCTATTCCCTTCCTATCTGCAGCCGTATCTAGTTTACCACTTCGCTCCCCGGCTGGCTGGCTGGATGGCTGGCTGGCTGACTGGATGGCCGGCTGCCTGGCCGACTGGCCGGTCCTATAGTAGCCAACGCGAACTTCCTGAATAAGGTCCTCCCTCGGCACTAGAACTGATCGCTATTCCGAATGGTTCGGTTCGATGTAAAAGGAAAATCGAATTTGACCGATGCCTTTGGGAACGACCGGGAGTGGGGTTCGGTCCAGGAGGGAGCAACGGGAGAGTCGCCAGGTGGGCTGACGATCTTATTGGGTGGATCCGTATACTCGCAGAGTCGTGGCAGAGGGCGCCAGGGGGATTTCGCCGGAAGCTACTATCCGGTACGACGGGAAATCGAATCAACGTGG